GACCCGGTATTGCAGTACTTCCGGGAACGGTGCACCCCTCTCTCTACTGTCAAAGAAAGATAATGTCTGTGCATCTGTCTGGCTGTAATGTTCATCAGTTACATGGAAGTGAACGCTACGCAGTTTGTTTGTGGATTTCTGCATTTGAGCTGGTTGTGATCTCACTGACTTCACAGTTCACCACAGAAAAGGGTTTTTAACGTTGTTCATGCAGGGCCTGTGTGGTTTTATAGAAGTGGTGCTGGTACTTTTACACAAATCCTAATTTATCTCTGCCATGAAAACCATACTACTCCAGCTACTCCGACTTTTGGCTGCATTTTTAGAGCCAGACTGTACCTGACAAACGCACAATAAAGTCGTTTATGTTCTGTAAAAACACGTAGAGTTTAGTAAAATTCATCCGTCTTTATTGGACCATCAATCGAATCGGTCTCATGAACTCCAAAGAAGCCTGAATTATAGCATGTCAAAGTGTGTTTACAGGGTGAATTATAGTATTCATAGTTTATAAACTAAAACCCAAATTGTGGTCCTTGAAGCAACGAAAAGATTCATTTCTTGTGTACGATTTAACTTAATGTGGCACCAGATATTTAATCAGCGGCTCTAAATTGTAATACTATGGTTAATAAATTAAGAATAATAAATTAATACAACAATCACAATTTGTGGTAGACTGAACTATGTATCCAGACTCTGATTACTGGTGGCACAGAAATTTCCGCTCTCATGCGTGTTTGTTCATACACTATGATTATATAGTCACTTGTAATTGCATAAAGTTCAAAGCAGCTTTTCTACCCTGTCCTTTATTTATTCGCTAAAACAACGAATGGAAGAGAAATGTCTTGTAGAGAAGTTGTTTTGTTTTGGTTGTAAGTCGCCGGCTGACCTGTACACACAGAGGGGGCGGGGCTAACTGTAGCAAATCTTTAAAACAACCTTCATAAAATTGTTGAAAATATTTTACTGACTCTTATTGCTTACCTTGTAGCAATGCGCTCTTTCTTCCTGACTGACTATTGTGATTTTAGTGTACATGTTTGGATTTTAAAAAAAAGCAGTTTCCTGGACAATGTGGATGCCATTACATATTCAGCAGCAGTGCATCATGGGAAGTGTTGTACTGTTTTGTTGCTAAGAAAATAATCGACCACACGGCTTTGTGTGTAATAAAGGTAGTCTTATTTGTGCAGTACTTTTAGACTGCAGTGTTTTAGCCTCAGATGTTTGTGTAATGATGAGTGCTATATTCTTCACCAGGATGGTAAACAGTGTGTGCTGTGGTGCAGTCGGTAGCCGGCGGAGTTGCAATTCATACTTACCTGGCAGGGGAGATACCATGATCAAGAAGGTGGTTCACCCAGGGCGAGGCTCAGCCATTGCACTCCGGTTGTGCTGACCCCTGCGAATTCCCCAAATGTGGGAATCTCGACTGCATAATTTCTGGTAGTGGGGGACTGCGTTCGCGCTCTCCCCTGATATTCACTGTACTAAAGTTAGATGCAATACTGTTGTTTTTTAGATTATGTGGGCTGTGTTCTGGTTAGCCTGTTTATGCAGCAACTGGTGAAATCAAACAATTTTTTGTGTACTCTGCTTCTGGTTTAAGACTGTATACTACCGAGTAGAACATGACACTGCAACATGCAGAACTACTGCATCTGGTTTTATAAGAAACAATACACAATGGGTCATGCTGTTATAGGGAACTAATCTATGCCAGAGTTACTGAAAAGAAGTTGTCTTCTGTAACAGCCTGAATTTTTCTATAACGGTACATACTGAAGTGTATTATTCCTCTTATACCAGCAGTTCCTCTTATCCTGAAGACTTTCCTGTGGCAGAAAACTTAGACTTCTAATGATGGCTGCTGACACCCAAGGCTCTTTCAATAAGTATTACATAAACATCTCCCAACATTAGCGATTGTATGTTTTGTTTTATTTTTTAACCCATTTATTATTAGCCTTGGATTATGTGGAGCTTCTGCCATACAGGTCCCTGTGTATGAGCTGTTGTCATTGAAACGATTATGTTAAAGGCAGAACCACTGTCATAGCCATGCTGTTATGTAAGGAATACTGGGAATCTGGAAAGTGCAAACTCCTCTCTCCAGAAGACTCTCCCATGGCAGGAAATATACAATTACAAAGCACTGACACTGGAGACTCCTTTAAAAATGTTACATAAACATCTCCTAACAGAAAACTTCACCATATCAATGACTATATGCTTTTTTTTGTTAAACAGCAGCACTTTTTAAAACCATTTATTAGCCTTCGATTATGTGCTTTGTTCATTTGTGTTACAGCCAGAACTACTGTCAGATTGATGCTGTTTATAGAAAACTAATTCTTCTGCTCTGTAAATTTAACCACTCTTTGGTATAAAATAGATTACATGGAGTTTTCACAAGACAGTGAGTGGCGTATTAACCATTTAGAGTGAGTGCTGCGTGAACAGATTAACTTTTGTATTTTTCCATTCATCATAATTTTATTGTTTATTGTTATGATTCCCAGGGGCAGTCTTATTTGATGACCCAGTTCAGGTCAATGAGCACAACCAGGGGCAGTTGCCCCCTCAAATATGGCAGCGCTGTTGACATGTCTGGCTTAGCCTAAAGTGGCACCTACCTTTTCATATCTCAGCGTTTTGGTGCTTCCACCTGCAGTTTGCCAAGCGTTATCTCCTAATGCGCTGTGCAATTATTAGCTGCTAAAATTAACTGGCGTTAAATTTTTGGTAGCAGGCAAACTGGTTCGTTTAACTCGCCGCCTGACCTCCACGCCACATCGAGGGGGCATGGCTAACCACAACAAAGTTTTCAAACAATGTTCATGAAATTGTTAAATATTTTTTGCTGACTCTTATTCCTTACCTTGTAACAATACGGTCCTGCTCCTGGACCGACTGTTGTGATTTTAGTGCATGTGCCACGATTTAAAAAAATAAATAGATAAAGCAGTTTCCTGAACATTGTGCATCATGGGAAGTATTGTACTGTTTTGTTGGTAAGAACCTGGATGACCACATGGCTTTATGTGTAATAAAGGTAGACTTGTTTTTGCAGTACTTCTAGACTAGTGTTACAGTGTCTGGCATTACAGTGTCTGTTCTTTCTTTCAGGATCTTGGTACCTACCATGCTTGGAATGTGTTCCTTCTCAGCCTGTGGATAGTCAGGTGGAGTGAGAACCAGCAGCTGACATAGTGCAGAAGGTAGATCTTTTGAGGAGTTTGACATGGTCTTTAATATAGCAGATGGCATTTTTGTTGACTGCAGGTTGATGAGTCTCTCTTGACGACGGATGAAATCATGGACCATCTTGGTGTTGATTTTTGGTAAAGTAATACCCACTTTGCTCAGAACTGGATCCTCCACCAATATACCATGTTGAATTCTTTCATAGGCTTTTGTGGACCCCCCCTTTTCCCACCAGGGCTCGCAGTAGTATTGTGAGGTAACCTCAGCCAGAGAAGTTTGACCAGTGTATACACAAACATATTTGTCAGTGTTGGCCTCAAGAGTTATGGACACTTGTGGGAAGCTCTCTGCATACTCTGCCAGATGGTCTTTTATCCAGTATTTTTTTTATGTGCCCCTTTCCACCTGGGCTAGAGAGTTCTGCTCAGTGCTCATCAACCACACTGCATTAATTTCAAAAATTAGTACAGAAACTTAGATTAAACGAAATTAGCACCAGTAGCCTTGCGTAAATATATCTAGAGATTATTCGCTTTCAGCATCTTATTAAAATGATATTTTAGATTAAATAAAGCACTAAATGGTTTACTTCATGTAGCCCACATCATTTTCCACAGTCCAGTGGAATGGGGCATGTAAATACTGGCACCACCAGCTTCCCCAGACACTTCTCACACTTCATGCTGTGAACCCATCAGCATGGAGGGAATTGGCAGAAGTTGTTTGGGGAGGTAAAGGAACGTGAAGTGTGGCGACTAATACTTGGAATTTGTGCTCTGCATTTAACCATCCAAGTGCATACACTGTGAACGCGCACCCAGAGCAGTGGGCAGCCTTTTTTGCTGCTGCTCAAGGGTCTTACCTCAGTCGTGGTATTGAGGATGGAAGAGAATGCTGGTCATTCACTGGAATGGTCACATCCACCTACAGTCCTTGCTGAACTGGAGACTTGAACCCACAACCTTCAGGTTACAAGTCTGACACTCTAACCATTAGGCCACGACCACCCCCGTGAAAGGTTATCTTTCTCTTCCTGTACACTTGGGCCTCTTTCGCCGCCACCAGTATGGCCTGTTGTCGACCCTCTGAAGCATTTGGGTTTCATATATCATAATCATAATCCGGATTGCTGGTTTTGCCATCTCTACTTACACTGAAATAAAAATACCACATTGATGAAAACCGTATTGTTCACTATATATTTTTTTTTTATTGAAACGTGTGTTTGAATGATTGTATTCTTATCTCTGTGCACATATGTACATGTTTACTTGTGTTATGTATATGTGCATGTATTATGTATGTGTGAGTGTACCTGAGATTAAAGTCTTGTGCTCAGATAACTTGCATGTAATGTGATTACAAGAAATTTAAATGTAATCCATTACAATTCTTTTACACTCTAAGCAAATTTTTTTGTAATTGGATTACTGTGACTAATTACTTCGTTGCTAGTTACACCCAACACTGATACCTCCAAACAGATATTTCAAATTAATTGCATGTCAGAGCTCTTCTTTCTTGATTTCCGGTACCACTCGAACAAAGTGCAGTATTCCCACTTAATTGTCGCCGTGGACTTTGGCGCTCTCCCCTATATTCACTGTACTAAAGAAAGAAAAACATTATGGCGTTTAAAATTGTTATATGTAATGCTTACTGCACTTTTATTTAAAAGGAGAGCCCGTGTAATCAATGTTGTATGCTGTATAGAAATAGTTTCTATACGTGATGATACTGTAGCTTTCAGCAGCTAATTATTATCCATCCTGGACAAAGTATCTCAGCTTTTCCACGCCCTGCTGGTCAAACAGTTTCAGTAAAAGACTCATTCAGCTCCGTTGTAGCAAGAAACGGCACAGGAGGTGGTTCTTACCAACAACGATCACCCTGTACAACAGCTCATCTCTGTGCCGGGACATTATTGTGCACTAGAGCTTATTCCTAGGACAAGCTCATTGGACAGATGGTCCATGTTTTTGCACCGAGTTGCATTCTGCTTACTGCCCTGATGCTACTCATCGTATTATTGCACTGAACAACTGAGGTCCCTCTGATGATCACAGCTACTCTGCTACACCTCAATGGTGCTTCTTTACCTGCTGTTTGCACCATACATTACACTAATCATTTATCTTCCCTTATTGCACTGACACACTCACACTTATTCAGAAGACTTGTGTATACATTATATCCAGTATTACATTTTATAATTGTGTACTGATTTTTATTTATATATATATATATATAATATAAATTTCTCTACTCTTAATTGCACACTCTGCTTTTTGGATTGCTGCTATAATCTGTGAATTTCTCTCTAGGATTAATAACTTCATCCATCCATCCATCTATCTGTCCATCTGTGCAGATCTAATCCAGACCATAAAATTACCACATATAGTTAGCGATATTTATCAGCGCAGTTCATCAGTTACCTCTGGCCTTTTGGCTGCTTCTCTGATTAATCCCTCTACACCTGATCACTGACTTCTAGTGGACAGCTTCCTCGAGGTGCGGTTATGCTATAGACTTTGCATTTTTTAAATAATGGATGTAATGGTGCTCTGCAGGATGTACAATAAAAATAAATTTTAAATTATATTGAATAACCAAACCCTGAATAATACTTTTCCAGAACCGTCTTCACGACGTGTTGTCATGATCCATAGGTCTTCATGATGCTGTTTTTTTTTTTTTTTTTTTAGGTTTGGGGTTTTTTAGGTACTGAAATTAGGCTTTAATTGCACACAGATGGAGTCCTTTCAGCTAATTCCAGGGTTATGGTCTAGTTTCTGTACATTCATGACATGTAGTCCCAGTTTGCATTTCAGTTCTAGGTTTTAACACTACATGGAAATGTGAAAGTACTTATGCAAGGCACTGTACATTGTTTTGTACTGGGAGATCAAAGAACAAAATAAAAAAAAAGGTAAACAAGTGCAGGAAGATTAAATCGATCACTTAAATAACTGCTATAACACCTATTTGCATATGTCAGGAATGTAGAGTAATGTAAATACATTCATGATAAAATAATGATCACTGTCTGGAAGTGCAAGTTTGATCATATAGGACACATTTTATTACATCACTGTTATTTTCTGATATTTTCATGCTTAGATCAATTTCGATCATTATTATATTTAGTATTTTAACGTTTTATTTAAAAAAAATTACTTCATGTCTTTGCGCACAAAATAAAAGCAAGCCAGTAAACCAACGCTCTTCATTCAGGTAGAAACTGTAAGCGAATTAAAATTTGTTTTTAATAGGTTAGGCTATGTTGTGGTTTGTGTTGCAATTTTATTAGATATACTGTTAAATATGAGATGTTAAAGTTGTACTAGGAGTCCAGTGGACACCACACAGTTCGATTCATTAAAAAGAATCGGTTCAAATGAACGATTCGTTCTCGAGTTGAACTTTTCTGCCTGGCACCACAGTGGATCATTGGGTCTTAGTAATTGTAGACAAGTCGTCTAACAAAAAGTATACGAACAAACAAAAAAAAAACCCAAGAAAGCCACTTTTGTATAACTAGTCTAAAAACGTGGCAACATGGATAGAATAAGAATTACACTACAACATGCTGCATTTAAACCGTAATATTTTACATTTGTACTGAATAACACCGCACCGTTAGCTCTAATAACAGCTCCATTCACCACGTCGTCCGAAGTGTGTGCGCGTGCGTTCGGCTCTTTAACTTCCGGGAAGCTTTCTACACCAATGCGGCCTCACCTTTTAAATCACGTGATCTTTGAATTCAGCCTGAGAACGAAATTTGAAATGAGTTAAGCATTGTGTAGAAGTGCCTGTGTTTGCAGTAAGTTCGCATAGGGGAAAAAGATTCAACTTTCCGCCGTGAATTTGAAACACACAAACAACAGGTAAGATTTCGTTTTAAAATGAGTAAAAGCTGTTGTAATGCTGAGAGAATTTAGGTTACATGTTCACTCTGTAGTGTGTTGGCTAGCGAGCGAGCTAGCTTTCTGTTCATCATGCTAATCATAGCTTCCTTAAAATCCCACTAAAGCAGAATAAACCATTATATAAGCATGTTAGTTGTAATAAATCATGCTATTTCTGTATTGTTCGAAATTAGTAAGATTAGATATTTGTGAATCATTTAATATTGTTAACGCTAGTGTTGTTTATTTTCAGGACTTTGGACTCCCAGCTGTTTTTCTGTTGATGATGGCTTCGATAGCCGATGATGGTAACTAAATCATGTGTAACAAATATGTGCATTCCGGTTAAATGAAATAACAATTCATACATGCAAATGATGTGGTTTGTATTTATTTTACCGGTGTTTTTATTTTTATAGAGTTTTGCTCATTGGCTGAAGAGAAGTTTGATTTTGAAGTTTCACTGTCACCAGCAAGGTGTGTTGCCATTTGGTTTTTTTAGTGGTTTGTTACATATATGCAATCTAATGTAAATTCTTCTCATTTTAACAATTTGTAACAGATGGTAAAATAGGTTTGTCGTTGTTTTAGACAGCACAGAGAACTGTACAGAAATTCTTCAGTGTTTCTGTTGCCAAGTTATGATAAAACATCAGAGGCACAATGGTGCTGGGATTAAAGACAGTTTGTGCCACTGTAGAGTACCAGTGGATCGTATTGAAAAATGTTAAATCTGAGCCAAATATCAATTCAGGCTTTCAGACCGGTCTGGGCACAACACCATAGAATCCCTAGAAATATCATATCTCTGAAAACGCTCACATACATCCAAGGTGCTTTCTGATTTTCTTTTGTTTTAGTTCTAAAGGAGGTGATGATGTTGAAGATGAAGTCTTCCTGGGTCCTGTCTCACATAAGGAGAGATGTATTTCCCATGGAGTGGAGACCCAAACGAAAGATAGTGTGAGCAGCGGGCCGTCTTTGGGTGAGGAGCCCAGCTGGAGCCCGCTGCTTGAGGAGAACTTTGAGGAAATTCGCAAAGAAGCTCATCTTTTAGCCAGCCACCTTGAGAAGACTCTTACTGAACCTGTTGCAAAAGACCTTACAGCTGATTCCAGTTTGCCTGAAGAGGCAGAAAAGTTTGAGGTGGACTCCTCGGCCAAACTGGGCATGTTCAAGCCGGCTGATACACTTAGCCCCATTAAGAGAGAAACATTTTGTGTTCAGGACAGCCCCATGAAACAGCTTCCACCTGCCATCCAGAAGCGACTGCAGAAGTCTAGCAGTATATGTGGAGGCAAACCACGTCTCAGTACCTCCAGCCCTGTGAGAACTACTGACACTCAACCTAAAATGGCCCCAAGAGGGAAAAGCCTCTTGCTCTGTGGCAGAGTACTACCTAACAAACCCACAGCCATAGGGAACTCTCGACTTTCCTCTGGCGCTCGATCAGCACTTCCTAGCAAAAATCGGCTTCCACCACCCAGCCAAGTAGGCCAACTTTTCAAATATAAGTTCATAGAAAAATGAATGTTATATAATTACTGATACTAATAGTTTTAATGTTCATGATTTTGCAACTTGGATCACATTTAGAGACAATAATTAGCATAGTATTTATGTTTAATCTGTGCTTTTTTCACATTTAATTGACATTTTTCTTAACTTCTTAGAGTTGTTTTGGCCTGAAGCGGAGTCCTGGTAGTAGAGACACAAGCAGGACAGGTTCTGCTGAAGACTTGCTCTCTGATACAGCTAGTGTAGCCTCTGATGTGAGTGATTCCTCCTTCAACACAAGCCTGCCTGTAAAGAGAGGACTTCCAGCCCCCAGCAAGGTGAATCATTTTTATTATTTAGTTTAAAATGGCTACTGATGTTGAATATCAAATTGATTATCAGATTTTCGGTATTTGGAAAATTTGTGATTTTCTTTGTTCTTCAGACTGGTGGTGGTGCACCTCTTCGTAAAGTTCCTACACTACCTAACAGGAGAGTGGTGGACCGAAGCCGGAATACTTCCTCCTCCTCCTCCTCTGTGTCTAGTATCAACTCAAGCCTTTCTGTCTCACCAACTGGTAAATGTGAGTCTTAATG